TTTTAAAGATTCCTCATTTTAAAGATTCCCCGTTCCCCATTCCCCGTTCCCCATTCCCGTTCCCCATTCCCGTTCCCCATTCCCGTTCTCCGATTCCCCGTTCCCTGTTTTAAAGATAGCCTCTAATGTCCGGGGTGTTTTATCACAGTGTAATACACTGCTTAGGCTTCTTCATTTGCTTTATGATGTAGAGATAATGTGGCAAAAAACAATAAAACACGCTTTGTTATGTTTTATACTCTGATAAAACATGGGTTTTTGACCAATCAGAGCGCTAAGCATGAACCAATTCCTTAGAAGTGGTGCACAAGAAGATGAAATTCGCGTCCCTAAGCGACCAGCGGCCATGTGATGTTGTGTTCATTATGTAGAGGGTTTGGATGGCTCGCTGGAATCTCAATTATCAGTCAAAGTTTCGATAATTCCTGATCAGCTATCAATCTTAAAACGCGTATCATTTTTTAGCTGACAGTAATGTCGAGACTTCAGGCAACTTCTTGCATGTAAGTTAAACTCTGTCTAGGCCTTTTATATTGATACTGACGTAATGTATTCAGTTTTTGTTCATTTTCCAAAAGGAAAAGCAAAGGTGGTCACCCATGGCCATAAAACTGAAGCTGAGTTTGTGAAAAATTCAATGACGCTGAACTTACGAAAGTACCTTTGTTCCAAGAAAATGTTTACGTAGGTTCTCTCACAATAAACTCACTCCGGATTGATTTGCTCAAATCGATGTTATTTATTTTTTGCGTAATATGTGTAAAGAAGCCAGCTGTGAGCTGCAGCAAATCTTGACACTAGGGACTTTAAGATATGGTAAGGCGAGGCTGTAGTACAGCGGCAGTTAGTGAAGATCACTTCCGGTGACGTCATGACGCGCGTACCAGTACGGCTTTCCCGCGGTAGCCTTGCTTTCTACAACGGGAAAGTGCTTGGTTTCACGTACTCCTCACTACGTGAGTATAAGCCTGCTGTTTACTTCTCATTTTAACGCTTTTTTAACTGTTTGAACAGCCTAGTTTGAAGATAAAGTTCTCAGTCATAAAAATCAGTTCTAAGATCATTGTTTCTTTGTCATTTGTACAGAAAATTTGAACGATTTTAACACCTATCGCGAGATGATCAATTCAGTCATATTAGTATCGGGCCGAACAACCGTTTATAAGAAAGCTTCGTATGTTCTAATCTGAGCTATAATTGTTTATTACTGTTCAAAATTTATTTTATTATAATCGAAGTTTTGTATTTTCGGGCTTATCACGTAATCGTTGTACGAACAACCTGTCCGTGTTGAAATCGAGCTTTTTCAGTATATCAGAGTTTATATTTTGTTTTGTGATTGGAATTACAGGCGGTTCTATCAAGTTCTAAAAGGCAAATCTGAGTTCTTGGAGATGCAAGACGGGTACAGGAGAAGGAAATCATTGTCATTAATCACGCCTATTTCGTATGAAAGTAGAATGATCTCTGGTTTCCTTGAAAGTAGTCATTTTTGTAAAGACACGTAGAGACTGCACATACCGTTGCCGTACAGCAAAATCTTAATCATTTGAGTTTGGCGGGTAAAACACCGT